CGTTATTTTGCAGTGAATACAGGATTATTAAAATGACCATTTTTATGTAATCACAAATTGGAAACTTTAAAAAGCTATTCCTTCCCCTTAAAGTCGCAAGAGTCCCATTTTAAGTAAACGGGAAAAAATACTGAATAATGAGTTACTTTTATTCATCTAATATTATAAAATTTGTGTGTGTGAAAGGTACCTATAAGTGATGCTGAGAGAGACACTGGAGAATTACTGCTTAGGCAATATCATCGATGTAAAGAAGTAACTAGTTTCAGTTCAGTTCAGTTCAGTTGCTTAATTGTGTCCGACTCTTTGCAACCCCATGAATCGCAGCACGCCAGGCCTCCCTGTCCATTACCAACTCCCAGAGTTTACTCAAAGTCATGCCCATCGAGTCGGTGATGCCATCCAGCCATCTCATCCTCTGTCATCCCCTTCTCCTCCTGTCCCCAATCCCTCCCAGCATCAGGGTCTTTTCCAATGAGTCAACTCTTCGCATGAGGTGACCAAAGTATTGGAGTTTCAGCTTCAGCATCAGTCCTTCCAATGAACACCCAGGACTGATCTCCTTTAGGATGGACTGGTTGGAAAGACTAGAAATTTTTCATGAGGGGAATTTCCTAAATAATGGGTTAGCTACTATGTCTCATCATTAGAATAGCATATAATGATTTCTTAGCTCAGACTCTAGATTATGTTCCTTTGTGGAGACTTAAGTTTTCATATGCCTGGATCTCTATAAGTTATGTCTTAAGAATAATTAACTCATCTGACAAATACTTACCTAAAGCAATGAGGAAAACCACAAGTAATTAAAAATAGGAGTTTATCAGGTTAAAATTCACTGAAAGAAACTGTTCTCACAAAGATAGGATAAGAAGATTCTACAGACACTTTAAATAGAGCCCTGATCAAAAGGTCTGGGGAAGCAGAGCCTTCTTAGATTTATATCACCTACTGCCCTTCTTAAGACAATTCTGACTAGCTAGTCAGGCACTCAAGTTTGCTGTTCATTTTCATTTTATAAAATAACATATTTGGGTCATCTTCAGGTAGGTTGACTAAGTGATTTATTTTCCAAAATGAGGCAAAAGCATAAACTGGGACTGCCCTGGTGAACACTCTGTCCATAGGGGAGAGCTGGGCTGTGTGCCTCTCCTGCTTCAGCATATTAATACAAATCAGTTAAAAATGGAGAAAGGGACCAAGACAGAGAAGATGAATAGAGAACACCCAGGTCAGACCGGAAAGGGCAAAGAAAACAAGGGGCACAAGTCCTGTGACTGCTGATTGTGTGAGGAAGGGAGGGGATGTTGTGCTTACTGACTCAGACAAGAAAGATTTACATGGATTGGATCTGAGTCTCAAGATATTTGTTTAGTGGCAGTGAATAGCTTCCCCATCACTGTGCTGTGCTGGGCTGTGCTAGGTCACTTCAGTCGTGTTTGAATCTTTGTGACCCTATGGACTATAGCCCGCCAAGCCCCTCTGTCACTGGGATTCTCCAGGCAAGAATACTGAAGTGGGTTGCCATTTCCTTCTCCAGGGGATCTTCCTGACCCAGGGATCTAACCCACATCTCACGACATTTCCTGCATTGGCAGGAGGATTCTTTACCACGAAGGCCACCTGGAAAGCAGTCAGCCACTGTGTGCGTGTGAGTGTGTGTGTGTAAATAATCTCTCTCCATATGGGCATCCCTGATGGCTCAGTGGGGAAGAATCAGCTGGGAATGCAGGAGATGCAGGTTCGATCCCTAAATCGAAGATCTCGGACACGACCTACTGACTAAACAACAATGAATAGGTGTAGTGTACACCTATTTATATTTTATACAATAACAAATATGAAATAATTGTCTGAAACTAATGTATCATCAAAATTTGCATTTCCATACCTGATTTAAACAATTTTGAAATCATAAGTAATTGGCCACAAGATTATGTTCATTTACATACAATACTTACATGCTGTATATATGTGTATGTCAATATATGTGTGTATTCCTTATAAATATACATGTGAATGTAACTAATCCTTTTAGATTTTCAAAGTCAATAAGTCAACCTGGGAAAATCTACTATGATGTTATATTCACAGGTTTAGTTGTTAAATTCTACTTACTAATAAAGTGAGTATGTTATTTTCTTGATATTAAGATATCACCAGCTTTAAGAATCACTTTCAGTTTCAGAGAAGAAAATACATGTTAGACATCCACACTGATGATAAGAACCATCCCAATTTCAGAAAGATTAAAATGTGAAAAATATGACTTGACATTTAGAAAGTACAACTAAGGAGTTAGGAGTTTTAAAATAAAACATATCTCCAAATAAGAAACTCTCTAAAGAAAATATGTGGGATTTTAAAATAAACAATGAGAACTAATTACTTAATTGATATGATTCAAATTAAGACTTGCACTCCGGATACCAGCAGCCTCTAGATAGTATATCAAGCAGGACCTTGTGTGTGTAGACACACACACAGAATAAAAGTATCATGGTTTGTTATTTTTCATAAATCATCACCATAGAAATTATGAATTATTCACAGTAGAGTTAATTCCAAGTAAGCCAGGAATAATATAGCATACATAAAGCATAAGTTTCCATGACAAATAAGAACAAATATGTAAAATCCTACAGATATATGACCCATAATGCATTACAGAGCATTGATTTCCCAGAGGCTAATGTTAAACTCACACACACAATAACAGCTCTATTTTCATTCTCTCCTGTAACTCAAATGTATTCATGGTGCACAATTACTTTTGCATAATAGTATATTTCAGTTATCTGGGCTATTTCATCTGTAACAATAGGAGTTCTTCCTTATTTTAAATGAGCATCTTTGGAAGCATCCTATTATTTTCTATATAATCTTTCAATCACTTTGATCATTCTTTAAAGTGTATGGCATCTTTTATTCACACATCAGATAACATGCTTCAGATTTTTTAAAAATCCACATATTAATAAATAGGAAGGATTCTCGGGAATGTAATTTTAAGTGTAGGATTACATTTCTGTCTCCAAGGACTAAGCTCTACACATTTGAGACATTGAAATGTTCACAATAAAAAGAAATAATAATCTCAAAAGAAGTGAGTATTTTTATTTAAGAGAAAACAAGCAAATGATAGATCAACTAATTTTTACTAAAGGAAAACTAAATAAAGGTAGAAGGATACAGATGTAAAGAGAAGAGGCAAAAATGGTTCTTATGGATGGAGAAAAGGACTAAGAAAGTAAACAAAGAGTTAATGAATAAAACGTGGGCATTCCATTTTTCTTAGCTTTGGACTCCAATCTTAGCTGAGATTAGAAACAAATTTTGTCTGATATGCTCTAACAGAAATATATTTTATCCACCACCAAACAAGAATGGGGGAAGTTTTTATCCAAGGTAATTCAACAATATGAACAAATAATTAGGATATTAAACAGAGATCAAGGCTGAAGATTCTTCAAAACTGCCTACTTTTTAGGACAATTTTTTTATCTTATTGAAAAAATGGGCATAATCTCTAGACTTTGACACCTGATTACATTTCAGTCTGCCTTTTGTCCATAACACATGTGTTTCTCTTATGCTCACAATGGTCACTCTTGTTTTTTCTTCATATTTTGAGAAATTGCTTCCTTTCATTAAGCTGCAATCAGCAAAAGAGTCCCTTCCACATTATATATATATATATATGTATATATATCCATATATACATATATATATATACATATATATGTGTGTATATATATATATATATATATCACTGATGCCTTCAAACTAGCATCATCCTTTGTTGCTTTTAGACCTTAATAGGAGCCATAGATTCTTCCTGGGAGTTCTCCAAACTTTAGATCAAGATACAGACATTAAAGTATCAAAGAATGCTCATCGCAAAATAAATATTAAGAAGTTACTGATCAGAGATACATAGTCACAATATTTACCAACAGTGATTGAGCTGTGACACAGGAACAGGAGTCCAAGATTATTTCCAAAATCATGGCAGTCAGGCACCATCACTGCTATTTTCCAAAAGAGCATGTATGGGAGTACAGAAAAGATGCTTTTTAAAAAAGACATCATGAAGATATCCCTACTCTTTATTTCATAGCATGTTACAATGTTATAGATTTTTACAATAATATTCAGCTACAGTATCCAGATTATATGAAACTTTAAAATGTAAAAAAAATAAAATAAAAAGAAGTTATTGAGTAAAATGAGCCAGAATGACTTGCCTAGACAATCCTCTTCTGCAGTGGCTCTCAAAGTGTGATGTGTGGATTAACAGCACCAGTATCATATGTGAACTTGTAAGAAATGCAAATTTCAGGTCCCACCCCAGACCTACTGAATTAAAAAAAAAAAAAGTAGGGAAGCAGAGGTTGGAGCTGAAGAAGAGGGAGGTTCTTTTTATGCATAACCGGCTTCCTAGGTGGCACAGTGGTAAAGAGACATAAAAGACATGAGTTCAATCCCTGGGTCAGGAAGACCCCCTGGAGACAGAAAAGGCAACCCACTCCAGTATTCTTGTCTGGAAAATTTCACTGGACAGAAGAGCCTGGCAGGCTAAAGATTTGGAAATGTCATAAAGACTTGGAAATGACTAAGTGACTGAGAACTCAAAGTTTGAAAACCACTTTAATGTTCAATTGTATTCTAATACCAAATAATATTTTTCCTAGTTCTAAAACCACAAATTTACCCCCACTGAACAAAAAGCATTTTGTTTTTTTTTTATTTTTGCAAAAAAGCTTTTAACATTTTCAGAATCACTTAGTTCCCTATTTATCCGAAGGTGCTAGTGAAGAACTAAGCAGCTCCTTTTCAGGCTTTAAAACGGTGGCATTGTATTCGCTAGTATGAGATCGAGGGACATCAGTGGGACAGTGTTGGGGGGGTTAGTCAGATCAGCATTTCAGACTCCAAATCTTGCCCCCAAAACTGTTTGTCTTTTTATAACTGACTTTTCTCATGTCATTTTTCCCCAGATACCTTTATCAATGAATGTGTCAACTTTTCTGGCATACGACCAGCCCACAATAAGTTACTGTGGGGTGCATCACGAACTTCTCTCTCATAAGTCTTTTGAAACGAATGCACAGGAAGATTCGATGGAAACACACCTAGAGGCTGAGCTGGACCTGAGCACAATCACGGCAGCTGGCCGCGTCAGTGACCATAAACAGCCGCTGGCTTGACTGAGCTGAGTGGCAGCCGAGAGCTGCCACCAAACTGTGTAACCTCAAGGACAAAATGAGGAAGATTTGTTCATTGTGGACTCTAAAAACAACACAACCCCCTGTTAAAATAAACAAAAATCCAAGATTGATTTATGAAATAAAGAAGACATGAATTGTTTCAAGTCTACACTTTGTAACTAGCTAAGTTGTGCAGTATTTTTTTGACTTAAAAAGAGTATGACCCTGAAAAAAAAATCTTTTTTTCTCAAAATTCATCCTACCTATATGTAAAAACTGTACAGAGCTAATGTATTTTTCATATTGTAAAGTTTCAATTACAGAAACAATTGGTATGTACAGTACCATAATTTAATTACATTTCACTTTACAAATTTTACACATTTCAGTTTCTAAAATTTTAAATTAACAAATTTTATTTCTTGTGTTATTCAGAGTTACTCAGTTTTGTAGGGACTGTTTTGTTACTGCTTTTTGTGCCCAGAAACCTTGACTCTAAAATTCTGTGCTGTGCAAAACATGCACGATTTTTATCATGCTTACTGCGTAGAATTTTATCTACTTGTTCCAGAAATAATACATTAACCAAAAAGGGTTTAATTGTTGAGACTTGTAAGAAGTTCTTCAATTACATAGACAGGTTTTTCTTATAAATGAAAAAAAAAGAATCAAAGATTTTTTTAACACTTCTCAGATTTAACTGTTGCCTTGAATTACAGCCTAGTTTCTAAGCAGTGAAATGTAATGATAAAGAGGGATATTTTTAACAATATATTTCCGAATGAATGACTCATTATTTCATTCTTTTGAGTAACCCATTGTTAAGGGTGTGGGGGGAGGGGAGCATGGACAAAACATCACTGGAAACAAAGGCCGTAACCACAGCAACAGACTTTGATACACTTAAAAGGTGCAGCTGCCAGGGACAAAGAAAAACTTGTTAACATCTCATTATTTCAGGCCAAGGTGGGAGGATAAAGCATAATAATTGAACAGTAGAAATTTTTCTCTTAATTAATCTGAAGTGGTTTTACCTAAAAATAACCATCAGTCTAGGCAAAAATGTGCCTGGTTTTTAAAACAATTTCTCCTTTAGAATGGTGAGGCTACATTTTAGGATCATCTCAAAGGGATGAAAATTTTCACTTTGTGTGAAAATATATATGAAAATTTTCACTTTGTGTGCTACATCAATTTTCTCCTGGGGGAGAACTCTAAATATTTACAGCTCATTCAATATACACAAGAGCCATGGTGAAGAACTTTATCACTGAAGTAGACTGTAAACATCCTTAAAATATTCTACACTGTTTATATTGCTATTTTATAATGAGGTTCACTTCCAAATTATCTGAAAAATAACCCAGAGTAATTTGAAACCACCCTGGATCCTATATTGATTATCTGATTGTATTATAAAGCTAATTCAATCAAATTAGGAAAACTTGACTTTTCAGAGGCTGAAATAATCAACTTGTTTCTGTTGTTTGCTTGACACAGGTTACTGTTTGAAAATATTGTCATTTTATCTATGGTATTCATACATTCTTTTGTGTTTTCTGAAACATATAAGTTTAAATTGCTGTTACACTAGGAGAAGTGCTTTTTGGTTTCCATTTTTAATTTATGACATCAAAAATAGGTTGAGAATATATCTACTAGGGATAAGACAGTCAAAAATAATGAAGAAAATAACGTGAAAATTGATGTCAAACATTTAATTCTTTATTTCTTTCAAAGAAATTCAAATTTGTAGTTTTATGCAGGTTTATCATTGCAAATTTAAGAGCAGCTTCAAGAAGAATGAATTTAAATAATGAAGAGCAAATTTTTGTTGAAAATATAGTCAGAGGGAAAAAAAAATGTTGGAAGAGCAAACTTACGAATTTAAATGAAACTAAATGTCACAGTACTTGTATCAACTACTTAGCATTCCAGATTTTGTAATATATTTTGCATAAATTATTTGCTATTCAAAAAATTTTGTAATTTTCAGTTTAATTTTAATCTCTATTTTTTCCAATTTCTAATTTTCTTGTAATTGATTACTGTCAGAATATTCTTAATCCTCTACACTGGGATTTTGCTTTGCAGTTAGCAAATCTATAGAGGATTAATTATGAACCTATTATGTGTGGATCTGAAATCAGATACAAAATTTTATTTATTATGTAAACCAAAATGTCATTTGCAATTTTTTCTCACTAGAAGTTGTCCTTGCAAAGATTCAAATATCTTTTAATTTGTGTAAATGAGCACTTTATATATCTTTCCAGACATTTTCAAATTGACAAATCATTTTTAGAAAATTTAAGGTTCTAGGGAGCCTCACAAATATATGCCCTTTATTTCCTGAACCAGACCACTTTCTTTTTTAGGCATTTTAAGTTCATCTAAAGTGAACAACTATAAATAGAAGCATACACTTTGGAACCATAGCTCTGAGTGTCTGAGGACTTACTACAAGCTACATACAGTAAGAACCAAGTAAACGTAGAACTTTCGTTTTCCTCATATTTGAAATTAAACCCAATGGACCTCTAATCAAAAAAAAAAAAAAAAAAAGGTGCTGGGTTACTAGTTTGCTTAATTTTTATTCTACCATACCCAGGGGTGTGGGCGCTGGGGGAAAAGGAAAACCTGCTAACGGAGATTCTGTCTGGAATATTTACATTTGCAATTTATATATTTGTGTCTAAAATCTTATCTCTAACTTATCTTTTTCAGGATTCAATAATCTCCCATTTCTTCTTTCTAACCACTCCATGTCTCCCTACTTACTATTCACTTATTTAAACAACTGAAATGCTTCTGTATTTGGAGTTGAAAAATGCAGTTTAGCCCAGTGTGGTTACAGTAACAGCAATGGCTGCAAACAAATTTATGCAGTGTTCTGAGGTTTACAAACCACATTTCACATTTTGTCTTTATAACCAATCTATGAAGACACATTAATCTCAAAGAAGTTGAAACTTGCCTAAGGACATAGAGCTAATAATTGATGGAACTGACCTACTCTCAAAATTCAGACCCTATCCTATTAGTCTTTCCACTAATCTAAAAGCCTTCCCTCTCTAATCAGGGCCAGAGAATTTCCAGATAGTAAACAGAATTCTAAAAAATGTTTGATATGTTGTTTAGTCATCCCTAATCTAAATTAGTTCCTCTATCTGTATAACATATGAGCTAAATGGACTCTTTCTGTGTGCTACACTGGGCTCTCACATTAAAACTCTTTATTCAGAAAGTATAACAAGTCATCAGTTTCTTAACAAATCATATCATTTGTAAATGTGTAGAATTGTTGCTTCCAGGAATTGGATGTATACAGGCCCCAAGGTACAGAATAAAATTGAGAAGCACATGATAAAAGACAAAAATCAAAATTGAGATTGTGTGTATGGTTATAAGACAGATTCAGAGTGTAAGGTTGAATATATGTTTACAGCATGTTCAATTAAACACATGTTCAATTCAGAGCTAATTGGGAAAACCTTTATAATTTTCTTTTTTCCTTTTTTGTTTCAGCAAAAAATAATTATTGAACCATGAATTCTTATACCTAGAGAGAATAGAGAATAATTTTCTCTATTCTCCTTCCAACAAAAATGAAAAGCAATTCATCCAAATTGATGTACAAATGATAAAACATACACTAATAAGTAAATAATATTCTTGATCAATTCATTTTTATCATCTCCATCCCTATTTCCAAAACCATAAAATCAGACATATTTTAATATGAAATTATTTAGAAGAATATTATTTAGAAGAAATTATTATTTAGAAGAAAAGAAAACTTGCCCAAATTTAACATTTAAGAGAAATAGCATAATCCTGACTTGAAATCAGATCAGCATGACTCCACAAACTGCTTACAAATAGCAAAATCTTTTTTGCAAAAATATTTCTAAAATAAAATCACTGTATATGACATTAAAAATATATATTTGTTTTTCTCTGTTCCTTACTGGAAGACAGATATCATCTCTCATACTAAACATTAAAAATAAGTAAAGAAACAGAAAGCATGAAGGCAGGTACTTGATGTGAATGATTTGTAAGCTGGAAAAAAGAAAATCTGATGTAGAGTTTCTGAATGGGAGACAGTAGCACATGAAGGGAAAAGTAACAGGACCAGCAGATATTCAACCTCAGGAAAGATGAGAAATCTCTAAAATAGATACAATAACATCTTACAGTGGTATAGCTCTTAACAATTTATTACTCTGGGTAAAAATATAATAATCTCATAATATGTAAAAAGTCCCAAGGTCCAAATGGGCGGATTATAGAATAAGAAATCCAGAACAGTTGGTCTTGCAGTTAAGTAAGAGCCTCCAACAATATTCTTATCTTCCAACTCACCACAGTGGTCCCTAACTAGAGAGGTACCAAGGGCAGAAGATCCAGGCTTTCAAAACTCTTCATTCTACTGTGCTAAATTGCTTCAGTTGTTACTGACTCCTTGTGACCCCATGGACCATAGCCTGCCAGGCTCCTCTGTCCATGGGTTTCTCCAGGCATAGATACAGGAGTGGGCTGCCATTTCTTCCTCCAGGGGATCTTCCCAACCCAGGGATGGAACCTGAGTCTCTTAAGTCTCCTGCACTGGCAGGCAGATTCTTTACCACTAAGTGAAATCTGGGAAGCCCTTCATTTTACTATCAACTGTAATAGGGAAGAAACACTTGAAAAAATTTTTTTAAATATATATTGAATGGTGGTGGGTTATTTGTAAAGATCTCTCATGACGCATTATGATTTTATTATGAGATAGGAGCCTGCTTCTATGTAACATTTTAAAAGTTAGGGTAAAATCAATGTTTGAAAAAGTCCACAGTTGACTATTTACCTTTCTAATAAGGACCATGCTCTTAAAGCAACAGAGTGCCTCATTTATCTAGGACTTAGAGAACTCTTGAATTTCTTCCTCCTCTCTCCCAAATATTTATATGCTTTGTTTTATATGATATCTGTCTTCCCAACAAAGTGAAATT